CTTAGATTTCTGTTTTACATATGTGTACCAAGTTTCAAAACGATCCGTCTGTAAACAAAAAAGTTTTGTGGGAGGGTAGCCGGTCCCCTTAAGTAAAATCTAAAGGCTTTATCTACAAATGTAGCGTTAGCGATGTAGCGGCAAAACCTCGTATCGCTACTTGAATATGTAGCGGGCGCTACCGCTACCGCTACATTGCCTTAAATGTAGAGTCGCTACCGCTACCGCTACTGAAAATGTAGCGGCCGCTAGTAGCGGCCGCTACATGTAGCGCGCTACTGCCCACCTCTGGATATCCTTCTACTAGGGTGTAAGTTTACAATGTCGCAACGTTGTAGAAGATTAGAATCAACGTTTTATTTCTGTGTACAATTACAGAAATTCAACTAAGATTACAATAAACCTCCAAATACTACGGTAGTAATTATCCCTGCCTTCCTGTCAATTTATACGCTTTTGAGTGTAAGAGATACGTCTTGTAGCTACAGTTTGGAAAATTTCTAAATCAACCTCATGAATTTCTAATAAAGCATGAATAATGAAAATTAAATTCATATAGCATATTGAAAATATTGTCATTGAGTTGTGGTTTTTACAGTCGACTCGTGACTAATTTTATATATATATATATAATAATACTTTGAATTTTTATCTTAAGTTCATCACAAATCTTAATTTTGTTTGAAACCATCATTGTACTCGTATTATTACCCCGCATCTTTACTCTGCTATTGATTAGGAATAGGAATAGGAATAAATAAGATAAGAATAGGGGGATTTGTGGGTTTAGAAGCGGAGTTTGAATTAAGGGGTGGAGCCCGAGCCGCCTAGCACGCATGCGCGGGACCGGGGAAGTATTTAATAGGAGCGAGCGGACCACCGCGGGCAGTCGCGCGGCGGTGTTAGAGAGAGACGGACCAACAGTGAATGTTTAGGAACAATAGTGGTGTTCGTATTTTCTTGAGTCACGACGTCTCTTCAGACAACTTCAGCCGACCGCGATATATATCACCGAGAAGAAGCCAACCGAAGAAGATGGCATTAACGCTAACAATATCACATTGTTTTGCCTGGCACAGTCAATAACTGCTGGAGAGCAGTGGGAGGCGTGGCTATCGAGCAGCAAGAGAACTGGTTTATCTGCTGATGGCTTAGCGAATAACAAGAATATCTGCGTGAACCACCGGAGGAAAAGTTCGGAATCCATGAAGCCAGTGGCTTGTTTGCCATACAAAGCTCCGTCGGGGCCCCCAGCAGCATAGTTGCCTCCTGGAAACGCTGCTTTAAAAATGATCATTGGAGGCATTGCTACGCCGGATGCTGAAACACAGCAGTGAATGCTTATGTGTTCACTTGATGCCACTTGTCGAGAATGAGAATTCTTCATTCGTCGAGGCACTACAACCTTTTGCGAGGACTTGTTGAGATCCACGACCGTTTCATCGCAGTTGTAGATGTCTTGGGGCCGTTCACTGAAGTTATCGCGTTCGAGGACCCTTCGCAGTAACTGGAAATAATTTCTTAAATTTCCTATAGTTGAAAAAATTGCTCCACCGCGATCCAGGCATTCGGGTCTCCGAAGTTTGACTGCCTCAGGGTGTCTAGAACGAAATTTCAGCCACCATCCGTAGCAAGGTCCTCTCTCTCCAAATATGTGTCTCCCAGACCTGCGATCAATGCACCAGGCATACATTAAAATTTGAGCCACTGTCAAAGGAAAACCTCTATTGGCCATATATTCAATGTAATTGCAGAGCGACAGCTCATGCTCTGCCGACAACGCGGTCGGTTTGCCTGGTGCACAGTCTTTCTTGACTCTCATCGAGAGGCGATCTGCGAGTGTCTTGCGTGGCACATTGAAATGGTACTATGTTAAAGCTTCGTAAATCCTCATGTTCGTAAATCCTAAAAGCTCCAATAAATCCCCATGCTTCATTGCAACACATGTGTAGTGACTAGCCTTGAGCTCTGATTTGAGGAAGCATGCTCACCTGTTGTGATTTGCATAAACCTGAAAACCATGGTTGTATAAATACATATATAATTAAACCATACTCAGAACGATCATGGTGGAGCTCATCAATGACTCCGATGACTTCGTGTCTTATATTCATTTTTAATCTGAAAACCATACGTTCAGATTTGTATGACTCCTATAATACTAAAAATTTCAAAAGTTACTACTGAGTACTGACTTGTTGTATAAATTGATGGGGAAGTCGTTGAATAATATTAACTCTGGAGACTTGGGAACTTTCTGTAAGATAATAATAATATCGATTCATTAATATTTTTGCCGAAATTTTCAATTCAGTAGAGTTTCATCCGATATGTGTATAAAATGGATCGAACAATTTTTAATCCATTTACTGTTCTCGCTTTACATTTGAGCTTATTTGCTCTTATCCAGCAACTACTCATATCAACGATTCATCACAGTAACATAACGAACCGAGGACTGCAGATTGTAAAGCCCGGTCCACACGCTCAGTTTTCATAACGATTTGTCTGCGCAGTTTTAAGTCGGAATGAAATCGTTGCAATTTTTAGAGCGTCCACACGGTACCGACTTATCTGAGTAGTTTGCTCAGTTTAACTGCGCAGACAAATCGTTGTGTAAAACTGAGCGTGTGGACCGGGCTTAAGAGAACGTTTATCAGAAAGCATCATTCATGTTGTGTGACTGTGTTTACAGACTGCAGAAGCTCTCAGGCCCCACGGTCATCCTTGCGGTTGTCCTGTGGCTTTAAGTCCACCCAGCGTGGACATCCGGAAAAGAAGAAGATGTGTTTACAGTGTTTCGTTTCAGAGCGGTCGTAGGAGCGGCTCTAAGTTCTTGTTCAACTCCCCATGTCCTGCTACTCCTGCAATCTACTTGAGGCGCAAGGAGCAATAAGCATGCTTCCCAGGCTCTCAATTATCATGTTTTTTCATCGATATTGTGCAGATATGCTAGAAGCAGTTGGGCCAGTTGCCACTTGCCAGTATAGCTAAATAAGCTAATAGCTATGGGCTACATTATTGCCCTTACATATAATATAGTAGATTAGTAGCTATATTCTTTAATTCCCTCTCGATATCACTTATAAAGTAATAGGTATATATTTTAAGGTAAACTAAGAAAATTTAAGACTTTCCTCAGCCCAAGCCCCAAGTAAACTGTTAAGCAGTCTTTTAGGCAATGAGATGTGCCTTAAAGGCTTAAAGTAAACTCTAGGTACTAGCCTAGCCTCCTAGTCCTAGCCTGGGCCCTGGTAGCCCCTAGATACCTAGTAGGCTAGTAACCTAACCTAGGTAGGCTACCATCCCATCCGTCCGTCTGACTGGTCTACCGGTAACTGTAAGTTAAAATTGGCTGTGGCTGGTCTACCTGCCATTTTGTTATGATATTGATATGCAAATCATCAAATGGTTTTTCTTTTGCATAACCCTAGAACTGGAGGAAGTCAAGAAATCTCTCACACAAGTTTGCAGAAATATTATAGTTCTCAAAATATCATTCTATAGAAATGTAATTGTGCAGTTTAGTGCTGTTCACCTGTCAGTTGTGGCAAAGCAAAGAGTCAGTCAGTCAGTGGCAAAGCAGAGAGTTTTTTAGACTCTCCCAGGCTCCCTTGAGTTCAATTTTGAGTCCTATAAGTAGACCAGCAAACTGCAAAGTAATCATGGATAATAAATTATTGGATATCAGCATCATCATACATAAGATATTGGTTTAAATCTTGAATAAATGGGAAAATTAAAAATGAACTGATTCTACAAAATCTCTGGTTTGCTGCAGCCACCATGCTATTGCTGGGCAAGGCATATCGATTGGTCTGTTGCATATTTGATAATGCAACTGTGCAAGTTGCAACAAGCTGTGAATATTCTGCTATGTCATGAATCAGCAACAGGCCTGTTCCCAGGGCCAGGGGTAATTTGGGATGCTTTTGTTTTGTGTTTGGCACCTCACGTTTAGCGTATGGAATTTTTTTAGAGATGCCATTTGATAGCCCTTGCAAGTTGCAAAGAGCTTTAAAATGAGCCCAAACTTGTTTCTGAAATGTTTCATGGTAAGAAGTTGTTAACAAAAAATGCCCAAAACCTTTCCCTTGTTAAGTTGTTAGCCTACCTGAGTCCTGACCATGGCCTACCCCATTACCATTTGACGGCACTGTCGTCTGTCAATATCACAATCAAAAGTATTCACAAAATCATAATCAAATCTTGACTTTTTACTTAAGATCATCATTTCAAGTGATGAATGTCACTTGCAACAAAGCATACCTAGAAATATGGGGAAACGGCTTTTCTAATCAATTTTAGCCTAAACATGTACATAATGAACAAACTTGGCAATCAATAATTCAAGGTACTTTTGTCCACAATGAACACTCCCATTAAATTAAAACAGATCACCATGGTAAAAAATTTGACTTCTTGTGTTAGTTTGTATAGAAGCATTGATCGGTTCACAAGTTCACATTGTCATAAGACCATGTTCTTTTATATCACCTATCAAATTGCACTACGGTATGCTTGGATTGCCTTTGAATTGCCTACTCGTCTCCCTCCCCCCGCCAGCCTGCTCCCTGAAGTGAGTACCGCTGGAGCGCTCCGGCTGTCCTGGTGGATCTAAATAACCAACCACTTCCTACAATTCTACCACATTTTAACCACCCAGCTACCTTGTCAATTTGACCAGAACTGTCATAAATAGCTGTGATTGAATGGTTGAACCTAAAACTCAGTGCTCCTATGTCAGTAGTACTCTGAACTGTAACCTCTAGGCCGCTATTCTTAAGATAGTATTATTTGATATACCGTATGGCATTATATGCAGACATGGCTTGAACCTTGGAAAAGGTGTTTTTAGTGCCAAAATGGTATTATAATGTTTGGAAAGAATATTCACAGCTTGTACAGAGATTACTGACAATCATACTTTTTATTCCACTTCCTTTTTGTTATTCCACTTGTACAGAGATTACTGACAATTGTCCTTTTTATCAACAGGACCCATTTTTTAGACATAGTTGATCTCCTATGTTTGTGAGCTTCTGTAAAGTACAATTAGGTTTACCAGTTATTGAAGTTCATACCTCAAGAAACATTTGTTGCATTAATAATTAGTTCATATAGGAAAATAGCTCATCACCGGAGTGGCAATGGACACAATACTGGAGCAGCAACGTCGTTATCATGAGGAGCGGGAAAGACTTGTTGACTGCCTTACCAAAGAAGCTCTTCACAAGAAAAATACTGTGAGTTTTTAGAAACCTTTTATTCAATGTTCATCCCATTTCAGTCTCTTGTTAAAATAATTGAGAACTAATAAAGTGATTGTGTTAACAGAATATTTTATGAAAGCTAGTGTTCCTTCTAAAATTAATGTCCAAACAATATTTTACCTCTTGTTTTCATATCATTTTATTGTTCACTTACATTTTTTTTAAATGTCACTAATCTAGGCATTCAACCAATTATATGCTATACAAATAACCAATTTCTTCTTGGTATAAGGATTTTGTTTTATTTTGTTCCTTTTACTCCTGAACCATCTTTTATTTTAATTTTTAAAAATAATATATAATAGTTTGATATTAATCAATTGCCAGCTGAATGATCAGTTTTCATTGTCTCTCAGGAATTTTATTACCACTCCTTTAAACAGTCAGTGTCAAAATTTTCTCTAAAGTTGTAACATTACTTCTGTAGTCTGACTTTATCCTCATTGCTCAGGCTTGAGACTAGTTCTGTCTTTGCACTTATCATCATGCTCTACCCATGATGCTCATCTGTCTTGTTCTTAACAGAGTCGAGAACAAATCAACTCGGACCACCGCATGAAGCTCCTTCTGGACCGGCATGTGGAGTGTTCAGAGCGGCTGCGTGCCCTGTACGAAGATGAAGATGGGCTGCGCAAGGAGGAAGTTGCAGCTTTGTCTGGCCCTAATGAGATAGGAGAGTTCTACTCCAGACTCAAACAGATCAGAGACTTCCACAAGAAACATCCTAATGAGGTAAGGGACCTTCTTGTAGAATGCTGCAATGTTTCTGGTGGTGCTAGGTATGTTAGAAACACCAATTTTGCCTGAAGACATGAATGTCAAATCACCCACAATAATTGTTCTTCACATCCCAACTGCATTGGAGTATGCAATTGGAGATTGTTATGTATTTTACTATCTATTTGTTTACAGTAGTAAAGTTCCTAATGCTAATTCCTCTTTCAGATCAGTGTGCCAATGAGCATTGAGTTCGAGGAGCTGCACAAGCTGCGTGAGCAGTCCGACGAAACGGCGGCCATGGTCGACTTCACTGATGAGGAAGGCTATGGCAAATACTTGGACCTGCACCACTGTTACAACAAGTACTGCAATATTAAAGGTTAGAACTGCACCACTGTTAGAACAAGTACTGCAATATCAAAGGTTAGACCTGCACCACTGTTACAACAATTACTGCAATATTAAAGGTTAGAACTGCACTACTGTTACAAGTACTGCAATATTAAAGGTTAGACCTGCACCACTGTTAAAACAAGTACTGCAATATCAAAGGTTAGACCTGCACCACTGTTACAACAAGTACTGCAATATTAAAGGTTAGACCTGCACCACTGTTACAACAAGTACTGCAATATTAAAAGTATAATTTTTATCACTGCTACAAGTACTGCAATATTGAAGGTATGACCTGCATTTTTCTTGCAAGTATTGCAAGAATAAATGTATGCCTAGTTTCCCTGAAACAAGTACTGCAATATTAAAGGTATACCTTGCACCACTGATATAAGTACTGCAAAATTATAAGTATGACCTCTCTCACTGTCACAAATACCGCTGTATTAAATGTATGCCTTGCACCACTGATACAAGTACAGCAAAATTAAGGGTATGACCTGCGTCACTGCTACATGTACTGCAATACTAAAGTTATGCCTATAGACTGCTTTCATACTACTGCTGTCCGTATTGACAAACTATTTCTTGTCATAATGTCACTGTCTGTAATATTCAATTACAAAATTTGCGTCATATTCTGTCTCTAATGAACAAACTACCGCCAGGCATTGAGAAGATAAGCTACATCACGTTCCTGAGCGTGTTTGACCGCCTCCAAGACATCCCTAAGGACAAGAAGGGCGCGCAGTATAAGGATTACCTTTACTCGCTGCTTGACTACTTGTACTCCTACGTGGAGCGCGTGAAGCCTCTACTTGACATGGGTGATGAACTCGAAGCTCTTACTAAGGACTTTGATGAGCAGTGGCAGGCTGGCAAGTGAGTGTCTTGTACTATATCCTTGGTTACTTTATATTTTCTTTGTGGAGTAGAGCTCCTAGTTAAGGTTGAATAATAATTAACTTTATATTTAAAGTGATGTAGCGTGTTTATTTTGATGCATCGAAATGATTGATGGTTGCAATTGCCTGATTATGATCACGTCATAAGAGCTACATGTTGTGTAGTATATATGACCTGACAGTGCAATTCTAAGTAGAAATTTAAACTGAAAATATCAATTACCTATATGTGCATTCAAATGAGTTGCAATGGAGTGCGTTTTCGTGGATGTAAAATTTTAGTAAATTTTGATGATTTAATTACGAGTCAATCAATTTATTTTTGTAGTACCGGATGTAGTTCTAATGCCTGATTTGCTTTCATACAAGTTTCTCTGCATTACTCTTCACTGTTTGCATCATGTCTACTGTAAACAATCTCACTGCATCTGCTGCTTCTACTCGCATTACTCTTCGCTTCTTCTATTATGTCATCAACTGTTATTTTGGGTGGGAAAATGTGTCGCTTGGCTATCCTAAAATCACTGTAAGGTCCTCCCATATGCTGGCAAAAGTTTTGATCCACCCCTATAAACCTCGAAATTATTGTCATCCTTGTTTGTCAATGAGTGATCAAACCCTCCTTGATAGTTAAATTACTAATCTTACTTTAATTAGTTACCATTCACTCTTGATAGCGGACTAAACAAGCTTAGCCCATCTCACAGTTAATTACCCACAACAGGTTCCCCGGGTGGGCAAAGGAGTCAGGCGGGGCGCTCTCGACTGCGGGAGCCCACTTGGACTTGTCTCCATTCTCGTCCGCCTCTGAACTCAAGTCCCTAGGGCTCGACAGGCTCAAGTCTGCGCTTATGGCGCTCAACCTCAAGTGTGGGGGCACTCTTGAAGAGCGAGCACACAGGTGGGCTACTTTAATCTCCAGGCGTTCAAAATTTTTAGGACTGTACTATTAAAAATAGTACAGTTCTAGGTTTATAAAATAAAAAATATAACCCAGTACTCACTGCAGTGAGTGACAGAGAGCGCATTTTTTCGTCGACGAAAACGTGAAGTCACGGACGGACATGGCGAGCACAATAGTGCATTTTTTCCATAAATGAGAAAATGCGCTAAAAAGAAGCAATAAAAAAATATTTAAGGGTTTGCTAGTCTATCAACCAGTTACTGGTGACTTTTCAAGCTAAATCCACTAAGAGCAGACGTGAAATGGTATGTATACTTATGCGAGTTTTGATAGTAAGGCTTCTGTTTGATAATTCCTCCATGTGCTTAATATGTTGACTCATGTCAACTCGTCTTAGAACAAATCCGCCAGTTCCCTTCTTACAACCTACACTGTCTAATTGGGTTTACATTAATGCTAGGATACAGAAATTGTAGAATAATTCATGTTTTTATTTTTAATCTAAATGTTGTAGATATTTACTGTTCTTTCATATAACTTCAAATAATTATTTGATCCCATCACTTGAGGTCGTAAAGCTGCTCTGTTCATATTAATGCTTTTGAATGACCATTAGGAACACTTTAGTCAATATGCCCCATATTTTGATACTAAGTACAGGAGTTACTTTTTTTATTTATTTTGCTCGTATTTGGAGTTGATGTATATTTGTTGCTATCATTTTCTGGAAGCTTGCTCACGAATTATAGCCCCAAGGAATATGTATGCAAAATTATTCTTCAGTTTTCTTCGCTGCTTAATAAATTATTCTTTATTACCAAATTGAATAAAAATTTATTCCACTGAAATTCCCACAACCCTTGTTAATAGTTTTTCATATCGCCATTTGCATTCACATTAACTTCCATCTTCAGAGATAAAACAACGCGGTTTAGTTGCAGCGATGCATGCCTGTAAATGGCGACCGAAAAGTGTCAGAGTATGAACAAAAGTACATTATCTATTGTATCTGTTTTAAAGAATGAGAGCTCATTCAGATTCTCCTATTATTAAAGTACAATTTCCAGCGTTCACTTAATATGTCTGCTATTTGTAAGCTTCCTTCGCCCGCGTTTAAGCTTTATATAATTATTTTCAATTACTCATACATATTCGTAATTGCAGGCTATTTTTAACCAAAGGCAAGAGCATCGACGAGCTCGACTCTTCTTTGTTCACCAAGAGCAAAGGCAAAGGCGGCAGCACCACCAAAGGCAAGGAGGCCGAGAAGCACCGAGAATTGGCCCTCATGGAGGCTCAAGTGTACCGCCTCTCAGAGATCCTCGCTGAGCAGAAGGAGGACACCAAAGAGAACGTGCAGAGGAAGCAAGCAAGAAAAGATGGTGAGGAGGATGAAGAAGATGAGGCGTCAGCAAGCGACTCGGACGATGAGGAAGATGAAGTTCCATACAACCCTAAGAATCTGCCTCTTGGGTGGGACGGCAAGCCTATCCCTTACTGGCTTTATAAACTGCATGGGTTGAACATCAGCTACACTTGCGAGATCTGCGCCAACTTCACCTACAAAGGGCCCAAGGCTTTCCAGCGACATTTCGCTGAATGGCGACACGCGCACGGCATGAGGTGCCTCGGTATCCCCAACACTGCGCACTTCGCTAACGTGACCAGCATTGAAGATGCGCTCAAGCTCTGGGAGAAGCTAAAGGAACAGAAGAATGGCGAGCGCTGGCAAGCTGAGATCGAGGAGGAGTACGAAGACACGCAAGGCAACGTCTTCAACAGGAAAACATTCAATGACCTCAAGAAACAAGGACTGCTCTAGAGAGATATTAACCTAAGTGTGCGTGACATGTAACTGGTAATTAAAGTAATGTTCATAACGTGAAAAGTTTATTAATTATTCCTTTGTGAGCAGACGACGAAGTGTTGAAAATCACATTTAGGTTGCTTTCTCAGGTTGATACTTGGGAAGGGGTAAAATTACGTTAAACTAAGTGAAATAGCGAATGCAATAAATATTTGAAAAATTTTGCGAAAAATTCGCTACGCTTACTGCATCACGGAGTTAAAAAATTCGCCTGTCGCCAAGTTCAAATGCTCACTCATTCGCAGAGTCTCCTCTGTACAGCTCTTAGAACTGAAAATCAATTATAGGTGAAGGCTTGAGTCCAGCAGAGCTTCGTAGCGAAGCGCATATATCAATGATTCTTCATTAATAAACACTAATATATCGTGTGACTGTTCGCTCCAATAATATGTTGGCTTGATGACTTGCGGGGCTGAAAAAAGTCACATACTCCATGAAAAATGATGTTGGGTGATTCATATCCCCTAAAGATAATCCAACTGCCCAGTCCACTTATAAATGGATAGTTGAAGTCAGCAACGATTAACGTACGTATGCTATTTCCTGAATCCGTGCTCGGTAAAAGGCTGTTTAGCACTTGATGGTTATCAGAGAAACTGTTCGGTGAACTATACACGACACCTCTGAAGAGGCTATCCTTGCCTTTGGAGAAAGTTCTCACCACTCTCTGATTACCAGTTTGGTGCTCTGCGGACAACTTAGATTGCTGAGCCCCATAAAAGGTTCTTACCCACAGAGCTACACCTCTGCTGTATTGCTATTCTAAGTTATGAAAACAATCAAAACATGGCAATTTAAATTAATCTGATACAATTTTGCCCCCGTGCTTTTTAAGGAGTGTTTTGTAGTCCATATAACGTCTATACACTAGTTTGCGAGCACAGTTAGCATTACACTTCTTTTGTTCAAAACAGAATCAGAGTTGTTGTTGGAACATTTTAAAATTTTCTGTGCACTTACACTTTGATACATAAGGATCCTTCTTACATTATTTCCAGACCTGTACTTATGTACATGACTTTTACTATTTACGTGTCTTTCGGCTCCATTGACCGCCCGCGGTGGGCATCGTCTTGACATCTTGAGAGTGGTTGACCTAATTTTCCGTGCTTTTCCGCTTGTTCCTTTCCTGCCGCTTCTTGCGAAAATCTGCCGTTTCGAAAGGGGTGGAATCCTTTTTCGCAAAAACGGACGTGAACTCGGCTTATTCTCCTAGTTTCTTTGCTGCTTTCAGCACGGTCCAAACCTTTTCAGGATGATAGCAGCAGCATCCTTCGAGCGCAACGTGTTGCACGATGTGACATAAACCGATGTGCTGAGAGCCTTGTCACAGCTGTCTACAATAAAAACAGTATCAGCCATCACTTCTTCATTCGTCTCAGATGTGTTTCTCTCGGGAATGATGAACCATACATGATTACACTTCCTTAGGTCCCAGTAAAGCAATTTACGGGAGCATTCGCTAGCGACTTTGGATATGACAGCGTTGTTGTTTTTCCCTTCCATCTTTTTTTATTATCTCAACTAAGCTTTCGCTTCAATCAGCTCGTTGCATATCAAGCACAATTCTTTACTCAATGAGCTTACTTCGTCATTCAACGTTTTTAACTCGCTGTTGTGCTCTTCTACCAGCTTCCCGCTTCTTCGAGCGCACGCGTCGGTTCTCGCGATACCGCCAGGACTAGTAAAGTGATTCAGTTGTCTGCAGTAATACGTACACTTTCAGAATTAAACTTCGCCTAACTGATAGAAATAAAGTCGTCGTAACTCTCAAAGATAACCGTGTGATCGTCCTCGCTCACCGATATCTCTTTGCGGTACATGCAAACCATCGTCTCTAACCAAGCTGATTTGTTATTCGCGTTTTTTTTTTCCTGGAGGAACCAAAGGATTTTCTTTGGTTTCTCTATCAACATTTTTTCCTCTCTTTAAGCCATAGTACAATGCAAGAATAAAAACACAGGCTGTAAACTATATCGAGTTAAGCGAAATTTAAAGTTCCGTCCAATAGTGTCGGACAGGACAGAGACAGCGGTGGATTGAGGGGAGTGGTGGGGTTGACGGAGAAAGACGGGAGGGGGGTAACGGGGCAAGGGTAGACGACGCTTGAGCCTGGCTCAGGTGAATAACTATTAAATTTTTTTATGATTTGCTCCAGGAAGTAAATGGGTTGAAAGGTTTGCAGAAAAAGGAGAGAAGCTGTGATATTTAAAAAATCGCTCCTTTCCTCGTGCTCTGAACTGCGGTCTTTCCGCCTAAAACGAATATTTCACATTAATTCAGATCAGCTTACGCTGATAGGTGGCAGCAATCATGAGAAGTTCAGCAAGTGATGTATTAGTTGCTTTACTCCTCGCGTCAGGATTTGTGGCGATTTACATTGTTTATGAAACTCGTAACGTCTCCAATATATTACGTTGGCACTCGGAAGCGGGACCTGCGGTGACAACTCAAGATTTGTCAGGTAGAAAACTTTGGGGAAATGTTGTTCGCTGCAAGAGTATGTTCTCGCTGTTGGATAGTGACAAAACGTCAATTTCAAATGTTACTAAAGAAATTCAACTAATTATCAATGGAATGAGAGACATGTTTACTGCAAGTGGTGTTTGGGATAGAGAACCATATAAAAAAATCAGCAAATCTATACCAGAGGCGATAAACAAAAAAAGTAAGACAATAGACGGCGTGACGTTGGACGAAACTCTTATGCAGACATTATGTGGAACCTTGTTGATAAAAGCCGTCTTTGATTTTGTTAAAGATGTACCTCAAGAGGGAGTTTCCTTCGTCAAACTTTGCATGCTGTGGAAACAGAATGATTACACGCACGAACTTTCACCAAAAAGAAATATTTTGGAAAAGAACGGTGGCAAGCTTCCGTACTTAAACTGTAGAATGAAAAATAGATTTAGCAAAAATGAAATTATGCAATGCTTTAGAAATCTTGTAACAAAAAAGAACGCGTCAGTGCTCATTTCGTTCATCGGCGATTCAAAAGTAAATCAGGTTTTTGAAGCCCTCCTCGTTGAAACCAAGGAGATGGACTACGAGATTGAAAACTTGGTGAGTTGTTAACAAGTCAATATTGAGGTGAGAACATGGAGCATTTGTTTGTGTTTAGACTAAATGAAGATTATTTACACGAAATGAACATTTGATTGTGTTTGCACTATGAAAAAAAAACCGTTACTTTTTAATTTCAATGAATCTAAATGGTTTCTTTTTTCCTCGATAGGGACAACAATTCAACTTACGGGATTGGATTATCCAAGCTCTCGAACACCACAACCGCCACCAGGTCACAGTTTCTGTGAGATCAGCTCCCGGCTTCTTTCTTACTATGCAGTGAGACAATAAATTCAATCCACTGAAGTTCTGTTCCTATCATTATTTTATTATTCATACAATACTTATTTTACAATTGGTTTGGATTTGGGGCGTGGTGACTCTGAAAATGACTTTCCGGAATCCGGAGTCAGGCCTTTACATCGGCTAGCTGCCACGCATCTCACATTCGTTTTTGCTAGTAGGAGATGAGGAAAACCACGCCAGGTAGAAGCGACATTAAAGCAGAGGCTATAGGGGTGGGAAAGTTCGCGTTAAGAATAAGATGGTCGATTATTGCTAAGTTATTTGGTCTATTATTGCTATACCCCATTTATTGCACTTTAGTATTTAAAGTTCGTATTAGAAATTCGTATCTTCCAGGCTATGAACAATTTTTTGCTTCCTTTCATATTGCAATTGTTACTGTTATTATTATTATTTTACTATTACCTGTTCAGTTATGCTCCTCTGGCCTCCATTCTTTCCAACCTCTTCCTCTCCCTTATTCTCCATGCACTCTCCAATTATTGCTTTCCACTTTGTCATGGCAGCAATCACCCTGGCTGACAGACCCACTATCATTGCAATCCATTCATCTCATCTCCCGTTCTCTCATGCATCACACCATCACCTCCCTCTCTCTCATCCAGTATCACTCTCATCATTTCCAATCTCTCCCTCTCATATGCATCACACTTAATCATCAGATGCTCCATAGTTTCCCTCTCACCCCTGTCACACATAAAACAAATATCCTCTCTTCTTTCACACTACCTGAATGTCCGTGAATTCTCACTCAAAGCATTCGCACTCACACAGAACATTAGGTCCCCACCTCTACTGCCATCATATATACACTCATAATTTGCCATCTCGTAAATCTTGTACAATCTCAGGCTGGCCTTTCTTTCTATTCCTTACTTCCATTTTCTTCAACCACTAATTTCACTCTCTTTTCTATTTCTTTCTTCCATTCATTGGCATCCCATTTAATCCCCCATTCCTCTCAGAGAATTTCCGTCATGGAGGCAAGCTTTCTTTCTTATCTCTTAGAATGAAGGAAAACCGAATTCAATTCAACTATGTAAAATTGTCATTAGTTTAAATCGATACTAATGCCCAGGAACATGAAGATTTAGAAGGGCGCGAATTAGGCATTATTATCCCCCTATGATTACGACTCAAAGTTTTAGAGCTAATCCGAAATTTTGTCAATATTACTCGCCCTCAAACACATTGCAAGTTTTCATGATGAATTAGGCTCAATTTTTCTGTCACAAGTAGAAAAATAGATTTAAAAACAGAATAGGCCGAATGTCTGACCATATTTATTTCTACAAAATTGTGTATAATTCATAACGAATCGCAATCATAAATTTAGTTCCAAAACGAACTTTTACTTCTACTAAACTAAATTTTTTCAAGATTGTTTACATGATCATTCATAACGCTTTAAAAGAGAAAATTTTCATATCCTTATATAATTGTTTTTGTTGCTATTTTCCCCTCAAGTTTCGAGACTTTCGCTGAAGTTACGTATGAGGAAATTGTACAATCTTCAATCTACAAAAAACTCTTGAGTTGGGCAATGGGCGAAGAACCTCCCCCTGATCTCATTGTCATTGGTAAGAATAATTGGGTAGAAGTTGGGGGTCCACCAGGTTCTATTTTTAATGTAATAGGAAGAGAAATAAGCTATAGCACAAGTGATCCATCACGTTTCATTCAATCGTGAGTAATCAAGCGTAAAATAAGAAGGCTCTGTCTCCCTTTGTGTTCAATACAATAATAACCTCCGGTCCGCACACTTGTGCCCAGCTGGGTTAAAATTCCTTCTGGAACGATTTAACATATTTACATCCTACTAATACATCATTTTCCTATACATCGTACATAAAAATTAACTGTTGAGTCGTAATAATAATAATCATATCGCTCTACATCATGGATGAATTATCTCATCATAGAAATTCCGGTTTTCTTCCTACACAGGATATTCTACATGGATGTCGCTACTGCTGCATCATCCAACGAGAGGTCGCCCAACCCTAACACTCATGGACGACCAATGGAGGATCCACGCTGCTGTGTTACGCATGTTATTAAACATGCGTGAAAATACTCGGGTGCTGTTCCTCGCCCAAAATATACACAAGCAACATGCCGTAGTTGAAAAATTGTGGTTCCACAATGAAAAGTCTTCGCAAGATCAGTGGCTTTATTTCTCCGAGCTTGGATGGTTGAACCTTAGAACGAAGTTCACTTCTAATTACGTACCTAACTACACGCGGAAAAACAAAAGTTATTTCTGGAGAGCCGTTTTCGCATCACGTAGAAATGCAGTTTCATCTCCAAAAAATTCCATTCCGTTTCAAGGTCGTTTCAAAATGCTTACTGAGGAAAAGCCGAGCATTACTGATGGATCTGACGAAAGTCACCAGATATTTCATTCTGATGCCGAGGGGCATGCAGACGTTTGGTTCTGGGACTCGACTCTGCCGCTGTCATTCGCATTGTTACGCGATTGTGATACGTTATTCAATCACGATCCAATGTCAGCCAAAATGATAGCTTTAGCTTACAATATTGATGCATACTCTCATCTTACTTACGTGTATGGTTTGCTACAAAAGCTAAATGTATCGCGTGATGATTTTTTCCAGCGCGTAAATCGCCTCTCTGATAAAGTTCACGCCGATCATCTGTTTTTTCAACTTCGGCCGAACGCTGAGAAGAATAGCAACACTTTCTTCCGTCAAATGAAAACATACCCGGGTAATTGGATAGTGAATATTTCTGGATCTTCAGTGAAATCCCAGGAAGAGTTCGTGAATAAACTAAATGAATACTATGACACATTTGCCACGGCATATTCAATGCCTGATTTGTATTGCCGAGATCTCACTCACGCAGGGTACCTCGTGAAACAAGTCGAAGCTATGCAAATCTTAAACATGATTTGCAATCAGTTCATGGATCTGGATCATAACTACTGTTGTAATAATAATAATCCTTGATGATGATACTTACGAATTTGGGCGGGGGATATTTAATCGTTATGATGAATTTCAGGTCATATGAAAATCTACAATCGAAAGCCAACTACCTCAAGACAGTTAACGGTGAGTGAGGTGACATTTCCTCACAACTGATGTACAATTTCCCAATGTCGATAAACCGTGTTTTATGAACAACAAAATATATCCTAAACTTTAATACTATATTTAACCTTGAATTGTTTGAACAGATTGTTTATAGCTTAAGAAACATCGTTTAACTTCTTAAATATAGATCGAACAACGGAGTGTTCATCCAGTAGACTCCTGCGTCTCGAAATAATTTTCTCGAAACGAACCGGGACAGACGAAACGAGACGAGAAAATTCCGGGAAAAAAATAACGGGACAGAGGGTAAAATTTGTCCCGGAATAAACGTATGAACCGAGACAAGACTTCTGTCCCGGACTTTAAAACTTGTGTCCCGGTAAATTATGAACCGGGACGAGACAGACAGTAGCTGGAGGCAAATCAAAGTCTGTCCAGTCAGCCGATGTCACCAGCTACAGCTAGTATGGCCTCCTCCAAACCATCATAGAACACAATTTTTGAAAAAAACCTGTTTTTCCATTTTTATTTGCCTGTCTAGATTAACTACCATATTAAACCACAACATGAATTCGTCGCAAAAATAATTTCAATTGCCGAGCTCCAATCAGCATAGTAAAAGGATACGTCTCAAGTTATTATATAAATGCAGAGGTGGGCAGTGGCGCGCTACTGAAAATGTAGCGGCCGCTACATTTTTAGTAGCGGTAGCGGCGCTACATTTAAGCAATTGTAGCGGTAGCGCCCGCTACATATTTAAGTAGCGATACGAGGTTTTGCTGCTACAGCGCTACCGCTACATTTATAGATAAAGCCTATAGAGATTTTACTTAATAGTATTAAATATTATTTAAAAATCAACATGATACATACATAATATAAATTACAGAATAAAACTGTACCGTTACGAACAATTTCGGCGTAATGTTGTCAACCTCAGCCTGTTAATAGTGTCAACATGTTTGTTGTTACCAGAGGTGGGCAGTAGCGCGCTACATGTAGCGGCCGCTACATTTTCGGTAGCGGTAGCGGCGCTATATTTAAGCCATTGTAGCGGTAGCGGTAGCGCCCGCTACATTTAGAGCATGTAACGGTAGCGTCCGCTGCATTTCAAAGTAGCGCTGCCCAGCTCTGTATAAATGTATGACGGTAAGCCAAAGTTTACACCACATCAATAATTGATTAGTCTCGTTATGTCTCCTTAAAATGACTGTAAGTTCCGGGAAATTTTAAGGTACCTATTTTAACCGGGACGTCTCGTCTCGTCTCGGTATCGTCCCGGAATTCCAACGGAAGGCTGAAAATTGTCCCGGTTTTTATTGCGAACCGGGACAGAGCCTCTTGTCTCGTCTCGTCTCGTCTCGGATTAAAAAAAATACCAAACGCAGGAGTCTATCATCCAGCGGGGCTTTTCATGTCTTTCATATTTAACGCCTTTGATGAGTAAAGGAATATTTAATTCACTAACGACATGTCCTGATAGCATAAATTATTGTTGGCGTCAGCTCCGTAAAGAGCCGGTACGGTTGGAACGCATGGAGGCCGGTACGGTTGGAACAGTCGGAGATCACCACTGCCATGCTTCGAATGGACTTTCGTAATCTCAAGAACGTAGCCTACAACACTTCTTAACTGTAACATTATCAGCCGCAAACCACCAGACAGATCACATCCATTGAATTAGATCAATCAGCCTACAGGAAAGAAGCCTGACGTAATATAGAATAGAATAGAAGTGTGGGCACTGAAGAAATAGGCCCATGGCCTGTTGCCGATTCATGAATTTTTCGTGACTTGATTCACAAGGGATCCGGCCTTTGGAACTCGATCTTTCCATAACTGACGATTGGTTGAGATAGCTGCTGGACTAATTGCCTGGTCCGTAATTTGCTAGGCATTCAAGACTGAACATATGCTCCTGTTGAGTGGTCCAGCATCGTCTGCCTATACGCGAAAAAATTCTACACTACCCAGACGGAGCGCGCCGGAGCCTTGCTGAGATTATGATGCTGTCCCGTGTGTTTAATAAGCTTACAGTCAAACAGCCACTCGTCGTATAACGATAAATTATGAACAGAACTATGCTATCTGAAACATAACCCCAGATGCTGTGAGCTAAAAGTTACGTAACGAAAATATGCTAGACGTTTTATTCAGGTGTGATTGGTGCACAAAATTGGTGGTGCACGGCTGCGCTCTCGTTGAAACGCATGGCGCTGGTACGGTTAGTGCAATATCGTCCGTGACATCATTGCTCAACTTGCAACTGCTGTGCGCCGTAGCCGACATATAAATATGGTGCGGTGAAATTGAAAATTAAATCAGGAAAATAAAAGAGATGGCTAGACGGGAGAAATAGAAACTGAGCAGGACGGAAGATACGCACAAGAGCCTATAATAATAAGATTGATTGCATATAATTGGACTTGAGCTACGGTTCGATTTAAATTTTATCTAGAGAGATAAAATTAGTTTATAGTAACGTAAGTGTACGTGAGATATAAAAGGTAATTAAAGTAACATTCATACTATGGAAAGTTTATTAATTAAATTATTCCTTTGTGAGCTGGCAACAAAGTGTTGAAAATCACATCAAGATGACATTCCCATACAAATACTTGCGTAGGGGTAAAATATTCCGAGATTTACCATATTACACGACTATCACTTCGTAAAATGATCAGACTCATGGCAATTCCTATAAAGAACTTCCATAGACTATTTAACTCCTTGAAATGAACTACTTTTCTGGATTTCCTATGTACAGGATTAGCAGCACCATCACTTCCCTCACCTCCAGAAAAACTGTCAACATAATATAAATGAAGGATGTACGAGCAATGCTCCAGGGAACGTATATAATTCTATAATTCAGTTTTCCGAATAGCTTGCTTTAATATGCACATCACAAAATACGCTTAACTACTTAGAAATATTCAAAAGCTTTTCAAAATCAACGTTTCATCGTAGTTACCCGATATCTTGGATAGATTGCATGGACATAATGCGTTAAATAAATTCATCTCTTCTAGATTACGTCTTAACTGTAAAATGTTGCCATCAAGCCACAAGTCGCGGGGAAACACAAACAATATTCAGCATCACATAAAATGAACGTTCACACATCCTCAAAACACACGCCTCGTCCTGTGCACCGTCTTTAGTACACTAAATTAAAGCTGACCTTCGCGTATCATTAGTTTACTACAAAAAACAAGACAAATATCGTGTGATCATTTTACCGTGTTCATCGTCAGGCATTACGACTCGGTTCAATATCACTTTTTGATATTAAATAAGATTTATATGGATTTATCTTAGCAGGCAATCTACAGTTGCTAAACTTGCACAGTTACAGTTTACAGTTGCTCATGTCACGCGTGACCTAGGTATTACTCATATCAATCGTATTACTCGTGCCATCCAAAGGTAAGTGTTCCAAATACGGTACTAAGTTAGACAAAATATACACATTTCCCATTGCATCATTTACGTCTCACGTTATCTTATATATATTACAAGATTTATTCACAAACATATTACTACTTCACGCGGCCCGTGCTTTCACAATCGTTGTCCTCAACAATTCCTAGCCGCATTCACTAAATTTAAATAGTATCGTATTTATGAGGCAAACTTTCATACCTACTGCCTCTCACCATCCAAGGCTACAAAATTAGCAATCATTTGCATGCCTTGAACTCAAATTTCGCTAGCGCTGAAATTTTTTTAGACACTGATCCGAAATTTGGCGAGCAGGGAACCGGTAACTTTGAATGCACAAAACCCCCTATATTTTTGCATGCACTGTAAAAATGTTTTCAAGCACTGAACCGTAATTTGGCACACCGAGAACCGGAAATTTTCATTCATTGAACCGCGAATTTCGGCGCAGGTTCAGACTCCGGGCGGAGGCCTCCTGCCGCCGCCGCCGCGCCTCTTGGCTCGCGCCATCATCTGGAAGTCTGCCCTGCAAGTGAACAAATTCTCATTAAATCAGTTCACGTTAAACTCAATTCACATTATAATCAATTCGCATCAAACTCAGTTCACGTTAACCTAAGTTCACATTATAATCAATTCAAATTAAACTCGATTCATGTCAACCAAAATTCACCTCAGTAGGTACATATGGGGATAACTCGCTGTTTACATTTCATTGCACGTTATCAATTGTATGTATTTAAAGGCCTTTGACCGGAGTTGACGCCGGACCGGAGTGACGCCTTTACTAAAGTAACTAAAAGTACGCAACTAAAATATGCAGAGATGACTATAACTTACGATGACATTCTTACAAGCGCCGTCCTCGTACAATCCTGTCACTTGAACAGGCAACTTATTTACTCATATTACTCACGCCACTCGCATTATTCATGCCACTAGCATCACTCATGCCACCCACATTACTCACACCACTAGCATCACTCATGCCACTAGCATCACTCATGCCACTGATGACTCACTCCTTGACAGCGTCAGGAATGTTGAGCTGGTGCAGAGGTATGAGCTGGGCGAGCTCCGTCAGGCTGTACACGAACGTCAGCTTCCGGTAGAACTTGGAACTGCACAAGTATCCTTCAATAGTGACTAAGAACTGCACGAATATTCTACAATAATGACTAAGAAGTGCACGAATATTTTACAATAATGACTAAGAACTGCACGAATATTTTACAATAGTGACTAAGAACTGCACGAATATTTTACAATAGTGACTTAGGATTGCAAGGATATTTTACAATAGTGACTTAGGATTGCAAGGATATTTTACAATAGTGACTTAGGATTACATGGATATTTTACAATAGTAACTAAGAAGTGCACGAATATTTTACAATAGTGACTTGGAACTGCACGAATATCTTCAAGTAAAGAATCAGAAATGCATCAAAATTTCCCATTACAAATGGCTTAACTGCATGAACGAATACATAAATGACTAAGAAATTAAAAATATATACCAATGACGACTTAAAGTTGCTTAAATAGGTCCCGAAGAAAACTTAAAAAAAAGTTAATAGAAATTCATTGCAAATCGAATAAATTATATGATATTCTGGATTTTAAAGATGGTCATTACGAGCGAACAATAAAATTAAGGAGACGGACAACAAACCAAATGCATGCATTAACGCCCAATTGGACAGCACCAGAGCAAATTTAGTTAAACAATTTTTGGGGGGGTCTCTCTAACCTCATGAAGAACTCCGCACCTCACTGTGGACCACATACGTATCTCACGGTGGACCTCGTACTTCACGAAGGACATTTCTCACGGTGGTATTCGTACCTCACGATGGACCACACATCTCAAAGTGGTCCACATATCTCAAGGTGGACCTCGCACCTCACGATGGACCACATCTAGAACAACTCACGTAACAAAGGACTCCTTAACTCAGACAAAACCCTATAAATAAAATATAGACCCTATAAATAAAATATAGACCCTATAAATAAAATATAGACCCTATAAATAAAATATAGACCAAATAAATGAAAGGCCCTATGTGCGGACCCTAACCTGACGAAGGGGCGGGTGAGGGCGACGATGGTGCGCACCCACAGGGAGGGATGGACCACCAGCAGCCCTCTGAGGGTCTTTTTGAGGCGGCGGTCTATGGTCTGGTAGGCCGTACGCAGCCACCCGAAGCTGGGGCTACGCCGAGACCCCCCACTGCCCCCGCCCCCCAGGTACACGAGCAGGTAGTCTTCCCCCACCAGTTGCTCCAGCCGGGACAACAGGTGTCTGGGGGAGGGATAACAGGTGTCTGGGGGAGGGATAACAGGTGTCTAGAGGGAGGGATAACAGGTGTCTGGGGGAGGGATAACAGGTTCACAAGAAGAGGTTGTCCATTATGAGGTCGTAGTGAGGGGCGTTGCGCTCCGGCAGGTGGCAGGCGCTCACCACCACCACAGGCCGGCCCTCGTGCTCCCCTCCGCTGTGCACCACCTGCGACACAAACACAATTGTTGTTGCTGCAACACAAACACAATTGTTGCTCCTGCAGCACAAACACAATTGTTGCTCCTGCAACACAAACATAATTGTTGCTCCTGCAACACAAACATAATTGTTGCTCCTGCAAAAACACTAACACAATTATTGTTGTGCAAACACATTGATTGTGTGCCAGCACAATGGTTATTGTGTCCAGAGAATGGCTGATGTGTCAAAACAAACATGCAGCAGTGACACTATCATTGTTGCATTAACACGAGTTTTTTTATGAAAACGAATTCTGCCAAGAAACCGAAGCTGCGTCACTCACCACCACCCACCTTCGTGTAGGAGGGCGCTATGAGCGTCATGTCTATCCTCCGCCACACCACCACCACCGGCCGGCAACAACAAAGTCCTTGGACACCCACCACCTGACATAAGCAGCACAGAAACACAGCTCTCTAGACTGGAGAGAGTACACCTAGCCAGGCTTCGCTGCGGCCACCACCCCTCACTACAAACATACGCAAACAGAATAGGCCAAGCAGACACAGACACCTGCCCATCCTGCCAGAGAGCTCCCCACACAATCACTCACATTCTCCTGGAATGTCCGCTCTGGCAGGACCTCAGACAACACCACCACATAACCTCGACCCTACAGCTCTGGAGCGACCCCCTGTCGGTGGTGTCGTACTTGCGCGAGGGAGGTCTCTTGTAAAAATGAGACCGTTGAACCACAACAACAACAGCAACAACAACCACCACCACCACCACCACCCACCTTGGTGTAGGGCGCTATGAGCGTCATGTCTATCCTCCGCCACACGCCCCCGATGACGACAGTGCGCCAGTGGCCGTCCTCCGAACCGAAGGGCGGCGCCCCCTGCACAAACATACATATATTGTTACCTTAACAATGATATATAATAATTCAGTTTAATCGTCCACATAATAAGCATCCACTCCTTCGTTTAACTTTCTCACGGCGATAACTTTCTGTTAGAACAATCTTTCTGTTAGAACAATAACTTTCTGTTAGAACAATCTTAGAACAATCTTTACCATTATCATTTAACAGTTATACACCACCTATATCACCAGTGAAGACTTTTAGCTTATATGGGCATTCACAAGGAAGCATTTTGTCTTTTTAATAAATATTGATTTTCTGCTATCATGTTTTTTGTATTCCTGTATAAATAAAATGCCAGAGCTCATTGCGTATATTAAGGTCTACCTGAGGATCGGGTTACGTGACTAAGGCAAGGTCGTGAAGGATAAGTGAGACACTTGTGTCTGATAACATATCTTATATACGGGGTGGTTATACATTACGATACCAAGGTATAAGCTACGGCGTCGACCGTAAGGTCGGAGAACTCAACCGACACGCTACATCGCAGAGCGCTTATCAGCTACTGCGGTGGCTCATACTAAGGTTGCTAGCCCTTATATAGCCTTCGCTTCCGCCCACAACTAAGGTCTTGATCGCGTGATCTATCACGTGTCTTCCAGATGCTGACTCATGTCATCAATCTCTATCAGGTCAAGTGAATATTACGACCCAATTACCTACAATTATAATGATTATAATGTGACGCCAGATTGACACCGGATTAAAATAATAATGAATGTTGTTATATTGCACTCCATACAATCGCAAAAATATTCGTGGAATAATCTGAGAGCTGTCCCGTCTCATCATAATACGCGACACCATCATCCATACCATCATCCACACCATCGTAATGCTACAATAGATCACCTGTGGAGCCACGGCCGGCACGATGCTTTCGAAGTCTGAAGGATCTGCACGCATAAGATCTCAATTAATACAAAATATGCGAGATCTCAATTATTACACGAACATCAATACATAATATACCTACAGTAGAATATCTTATTTGAGGAACAAACGTCAATAAAAATTGGCTATCAACGAGAATATACGCCGATTTTGCACGAATTAACAAAGGAAAAAAACAGTCTCTGATAAATACGAGCAAGTTCTGCTCTGCACCACGAGTACGAACGTTCACATGACAAACGAGGTAAAATATTTTTGAATTCATGGAATGAATATCTCATATTACTGCTGACAATCATCAGTACAACCAATTTATTCACCTCTAATAATGAATAGATACTCTGTTCATTAAGCATGCTTGTTACTATAAAGCCTACAGTAAAGCTAGCCTAGCACTATGAAGCCTACAGCAAAGCTTGCGTTGTATTGTAAAGTCTAACCGAAAACACGGAAAGAAACGAACGACGGATGAAGAGAGTGACATTATTGTGACAATAGCAGACACGTGAATCATCACATCATCGTAAATTTTCACTATGATCGTTAATCATCACCATCATCGTCACTCATCACCCATCATCGTCACTCATCACCATCATCGTCACTCATCACCATCATCGTCACTCATCACCCATCATCGTCTCCATCATCGTCACTCATCACCATCATCGTCACTCATCACCATCATTGTCACTCATCACATCATCGTCACTCATCACCATCATCATCATCATCAATCATCACCATCATCATCATCATCAATCATCACCATCATCATCATCATCAATCATCACCCTCATCATCAATCATCACCCTCGTCATCAATCATCACCATCACTAGAATAATTCTCACAGCGTGCGTGACGTGACGACGATGGAGGGGCGTGATGGAGTGGCACATCCTGGGCACTGGTGGAGTGAGTAGACCCTGATTCAGTATTGCCTTTATATTCGGGACTAAACTCATCAGCATCTTCGAGTGGATGCCCCGAGGGCAAGGTTGAGGGCAAGGCAGAGGGCAAGGCAGAGGGCAAGGCAGAAGACAGGGCAGAGGGTAATGTAGAGTCAGCAGTATCGTCGAGGGCGCTGGAGTCGTCCATGTCATCCTCCATGGAGCCGCTGGTGCCCAGGTCAAAGCTCTTGGCGCTTATCTTCTTTAGCTTGGAGTTGGCGAAGTCGCTCTCCACGAACACGCTCTCCAGCTCCACCTGACATCCAGACAATGGTTGTTATCATCCATGATTATTGCTTTCATAGTTACAAAAATTGCATTTATTTTGAGATTTAGAACTCCTTACCTGTGTGCACAAGATGAGTGTAGTGTACGGTAACAGTATAGCCACACATAAACTGTAAATCATAACATATTATCGTAATAGCTACGACATAATTTCGCGTGCTTATAGCCCCTTTTTCGCCTATGCATCAACCGCACTCGTCTTCATATGATTGTTGATAACATCTTATGCAGCATTTCATTCTCGAGTCAATGATATAAAAAAAACTGTTTAAGCTCGATCTGAAGATCAACATTTATTGACAATATTCGCTTTGATGGAATACTTCCATAAGGAAAAAATAATCGGCGAGACTTTACCATACAAACCGAGACTTGACCACACAAAAAAATTAGGATGAATTAACAATTACTTAATAAATAGGTTACGGATCAAAGTAAGAAATTCTCTAAATACTTAGGCATTTACTATGGCGATACTATGATAGGATAATAATAAGGATAATACTATGACGAGAACCTTTGTAAAATGAGTAACATACGTATTGAAGCATGTTACGTTAAAGGAGAAATTTAATGGGTTAAAAAATTAACCCCCAGGCATGTGACGTTGAAATTACGTCTGTAAAACGTTGAAATAACGTTGATTAAACGTTGTTTCAAAGTTATTCACCTGGATGGTCTTATCAATACTTATGAGCATATGTTTAGTCTTAAAATGCCTCGTACCCTACGGAACAACTGATATCTAGAAGCGATTTTAAATCTACCGTCCGTTGAAAAGATTTGATCAAAAGACCAGTCTAGTCAAGAAAAGTACAAGAATCGGCGACAGGCCTATCCAGGCCTATTCTTTAATGCCGAAGATACTATACTATGCTAGTACTAACCACCTGACCGCGACCGGCGCTGAGTCGTATCGACTTCCGACGTTCGATGGTCCCGAATCTCGAGTCGGAATCCAAAGAATCTGTTCGATCCCTCATAACAACGGGCTGGACGTCTTCTGCTGTAGGGTCTTCATGACTTCGGCCTTTGTCCAAGGTATTAAAAAGCCCTTGGTCTTTAGGACTTGATTCCGAAGCCATGTTGTCGATTTGGCCTTGGTTACTCATACTTTGGTCTTCATCATCAAGATCTTCATGGTGTTGATTCTCAAGTAACCGGCCATTAGAAACTACGTAGGGCAGGGAATCTAGCGCGAGTTCTTCCATGAGGAGCTTCTGCTTTATTTGGTACTGCAGCTGGACTTGTTCAGGCGTGAGTTCCTTCTCAGGAGTCTTGGGCTTCAGCGCGGACTCATGTCTGCTGAAACTGATGGAGAAAGGCTGTCCAGTGAGGGACATTTGTTCACTAACGCTCGTAAACAACGCCTCTAGAACACCGGTGTCTATGATGTCGAGGTAGCGGTGAGAGTTGTTAAGAACTTCCTCCACCTCAATTGGAGTTAGAATATCCTGTAGTTTCCCACTGAGGTTATAAATGTCCTTGCATTTCGAGAAATCCATGCAGTCACGCACTTTATTCATGGTGCTTTGCTCGATGCTTAAACTCTCCAGGTTTTCAGACACGCTTGGATCTCTCACACTTCCAGAGTGTAAGCTCGCACTCAAGTCAATACTTGCGTACTCCGCTGTGCTAGCGTATGCGTTAGGCGTCGATGTGTACGCATTCTGTCCACGCATTAGTAGCCTAGGAGTGTCATTGTTCACATACGCAGGTAAACTATCCAAATTATCATCTTCATTATCATCTTCATCATCATGCTCGTCGTTCATTAATTTCTCGATCTCTCTGAAATCTTTCCGGAACTCGTGAACTTTAGGTTCGTGCGTAACTTCAAACTTGGGTTCAACTTGAGCAAGTTCTAACTTGGACTCAACTTCATCAAGTTTGTAGAGACTCGAGTCAACACTAGGTACAATTTTTCGTCTCATGCTGCCGTGTCGTTCGTATTCACCGGTGCGTACAAGACCTTCGATCTTCTCCGCGTCAGGGGCGTTTATGGGCGTAAGTTCGACCTTACGCCTAAAGCTGTGGTGGCGTACAAAAGCGTTCTCGTGGGTGTTGGGGAGGTGGTATTCCTCGAAATATTCCTCCTCTGCATCGCTTCCCCCACCACCACTCGCTTCCAGGCGTGCACCTGACCATTAGAGGATAGTTACAAAAAAATATAACTCAGTATACTCACTGCAGTGAGTGACAGAGAGCGCATTTTCTCGTCGACGAAAACGTGAAGTCACGGACGGACGGACAGACAGACAGACGGACATGGCGAGCACAATAGTGCATTTTTTCCATAAATGAAAAAATGTGCTAAAAAGTTGTGTGAAGTAAACGAAAATTAAACATGATGATGGTTATCCAGTAAAACATTACCTAATTATTTATCACAGTATTTTACATGTGAAGTAAACGAAAATTAAACATGATGGTTATCCATTAAAAGATTAATTATTTAAATTATTCATTACATTATTTTATATTATTAAATACACGTTTACATTATTTATTATTTATTTATTACAATTAATTAAGTAGACAAAAAGGAGACATACAAGCCTCACTGTGCCCAGAAGTGTCCTGCAGGGATGACAGTTCATCCTCATCCCCATCATCCTGGGGGAGTTGGATGAGCTTCCTCTTGTGCTGGGGGTGCGGGGCGACGTGATCCCCAGCGGCTGGTGAAACCCCGACGTCTTCAGCTGATGGGGACTTAAATCCCACCGAACTTTCAGTCTTTAATGAATGTAAACTACGGGAAGGGGAATGTGCTGCAATAGAAGGGGAATGTTCTCCAATAGAAGGGGAATGTTCTCCAATAGAAGGGGAATGTTCTCCAATAGAAGGGGAATGTTCTCCAATAGAAGGGGAATGTTCTCCAATAGAAGGGGAATGTTTTTCCCCACAATATGAATGTTCCCCGCTAGATGGGGAGTGTGCGGACTGTTCCGCCATGTTGAGGTCGGGGGATGAGAAGGATGTCAGTCCTCTGGATGACGTGGGGCTGTGCAGCCCCACGTCATCCTCCCCAACCTCACCCACTGCACGCAGACAAGTTATAGTTATTCTCTAGTATTACTCTAGTAACTAGTTACTATATATGAGTTATTCTCTAGTATTATTCTAGTAACTAGTAACTATATAAGCTTGTTTACTAGAGTTACTAACTATAACAGCTGATACAACAAATAAATATTCATCATTACTACAGTACAGTATTCAGACAGGAATATGTTATTATATGAATAGCATTAATATTATGATACCTAGTACCGTATTCAGTAGGTAATAATACAATAGTTACTATTATGAATAGTAACAATAATACTATTACTATTTATATTAGAAATAATATAAATATAATAAGGTTTAAAGTAACCTGCAGCAGCGAAGTAATAGTATTAATATTATAATAGTTTTTAGGCAGGAACATGTTATTGTATCAATAGTATTGTATTATAAATATTATAATAATAAATGTTACCTGCAGCAGCGATGTCAGAGAGGGGGTGGGGGGAGGCGGAGGGGGGGCGGGAGAGGGAGGCAAGGGAGGCGCTGGAGGAGGCGTGGGAGAGCGACGTGTCCCCCACCGACACGTCGCTGGGGGACAGGCTCACCTGTACAGTTAATAGCATCAATATTATCTTCTGCTTAATGTTAATAACGTCAATATTACCTTCCACTTATGTTCATAACATCAAAATTATCTTCTAGTTAATGTTGAGGGCAAGTACTGTAACTGTACAGTGGATAGCGTCTATATTATCTTCTGCTTAATGTTAACACTCTGACTCCGATTGCTTCATCTTGTACTATTATTTCATTTCTTGTAGGTACTTTTTTTAAGCAGGTTTGCCAGACGGTCATTTTTTTGGACAAATTCCGTGAATTAGTTTTTCTCAATTGCGTTGGCCGGCTAAAATTTGTGATAGGGGTACTTCATAATTAAATTTTAAATACTGCAAAAATAAATAAATGGAATTTTTATAGCGGAACCTACAAATAAACTAGTATATATCGAGTTATCGGCCTTTTTTTGCCTTTTCTGTTCGCGGATTTGGCCGATTTTGGGCAACATGAATTATGTGCCACTACCTCCTGGAGAAATACATTTCGTGGTACGCATATGTACCACTTCGGAGCCAACGTGTTAACAAAAAAAAGGTAAAAAAGGGCCTAAAAACAGGGGGAAAATTGAACAAAAAAAGCAAAAAAAGGGCAGATAAAAGGCAGAAAAAGGCAAAAAGAGGCATAAGATAGACAAAAAACTAGCAAAAAAGTGCATCTATATTTGGACAAAGTTTTGCTCATATCTCCGAGTGAATGGTTTCGTAGCTCTGGCCTTGTGCTGCTAGATGAGGAAATAAATAAAATCGAAAATAAAATAAAACAAATCCAACTAAACTCGACAGGCATTCATTTAAAATATTTCTAGGAAAGTTTTAGTGCAGTTTACGCGCTATTACGGGAGGTTTAGACATAGCAAATCTTACATGATCTCAGCGCACAGTAATTCACTGTATGACGTTTATGCATCTAATTATCAGAGACTAGAATGAAAGATACAATAATAATAAATAATCATCAAGGTTTGAATTAAAAAATTGATAATCAAACTAATAAGTAATAAGAAAAAGGCTAGAATGAAATATATAATAAAATATCAAGGCTTGAATTAAAAAATTGAAAAATCAAATTAATAAGTAATAAGAAAAAGGCTAGAATGAAATATATAATAAAATTAATAATAATAAATAGGCATCAAAATTTTTATTAAAAAATTGAAAATCAACTTAATAAAATATGAGATACCGCGTCGTGTTGCAACGTAACCAAAGTGCGGAACTTGAGACGCACGCTTCGGTGGCCAGCGGGAAGTTATAGCCGCGTCATCAGCGGCCAGATTCTTGTCATGCAGTGGCCGCCGATATACCGGCCAATAATTGCCTAATTTCGTTCCTAAGACAACGAGCCTTATGACGTGGTGCAGAAATGGCATTGAAAGTGTAGCGTTGCTAATTAATGTAATTGATTAGCTCCATTTTCCGTGGTTGAAGGTACTTACCAATTACTGTATAAGTACCACTGCCCCAACACCCAAGTACCCCTGGAACCCCCCAGTACCCCAGGAAACCNAGTACCCCTGGGACCCCCCAGTACCCCGTGGAACCCCCCCCCCCGTACCCCCAGAAACCCCCCTCACCACTCTCCCTTTACCCCAGTACCTGTGAGAGGGCAGCGCTGAGAGGGGGGGTCTTGTGCCCCCCACCGCCCCCCACAGGAGCAGCCCCCCCAGCGGGGGGCGGTGAAGGTCTCTGATGCTGCTGGGTCTCCGCTAGGCCGCGCATCGTCTGATAAAAAACATAGAATTTTACTTTATTAATAGCAAATAATTTCAATTTTAATAAACAATGCTATTCATTTACATAATAATATTCATATAAAAATACTATTGATACATATAATATTCATTTACACGAGTTTTCTGATCACAACACATGGGTCAGAAACGGACATGAAGAAAGTGACACACTAGTTGTTACTAGTGTATCTAGTGTCTAGAAAGTGACACTAGTTGTCACTAGAGTGTCACTAAATAATGGCACACTAGTGTGTCACTAGTTGACACTATGACCTATTCCTGACAGTATTTATCTACCATGTTGTGACGTAGTGATGAGAGCGTTTACTACCGTACGTAGTGTTATGGTAGTGTTATGGTAATGTTATTATATGGTAGTGTTATGGTAATGTTATTATATGGTAGTGTTATGGTGATGTTATTATATGGTAGTGTTATGGTGATGTTATTATATGGTAGTGTTATGGTAATGTTATTATATGGTAGTGTTATGGTGATGTTATTATATGGTAGTGTTATGGTGATGTTATTATATGGTAGTGTTATGGTGTTCACACTCAGAGTAATAAGTGGGATTTGTTCGAATAGCAATACTCTTTATGCCCTTGCGTAGGTCATCCTGCAGGACCTAGTTTGACCAGGCATACGGGTGTACTGGTGCCACTTGCAGAAGAGAGAGTGTCACCATTTGGATAATATGACCTATTTATTTTAATGAGTGCATCATAGTAATAAAAAGCTGTTCTAAAAAGAATGTAGAGCAAAGAACTCCACTTTCTACGGTTTGTAGTAAAATCCAAAGTTATATAAACCATGCCACAAGCTCATATAAATACGAGAGATCGTGTTAAAAGATCATATTTATATGAATAAATTAGAAGTAACAAGCACGTTCATGTAGCGTTTCCAATACCAATAAGCAGCTTGGCTACTGAGCAATAAAATGCAGGGTTCGTATGGTGATAATTACCTGCTGAAATCTTGTGGTCACCGAGATGGTAGTTTTCACAACCCGCTACTAGTTGGGAAAATTACGGGCAAAATCTGCTTTGATTTCGTAAGGTTAAGAATAAGGCCAACATTGTCTAATGAGAGTTCCTCACAACACTTTACTAAATTATATCATATAATAATATCACATTATAACATAATATATCATACTATACGATTGTCGCGAAATGTTCGCGTGGGGCAAAAAAGGAGTGTAGGAAGTTCTATGTTCTATGAAGTGTATGAAGTTCTATGTGGACACAAAATATGTAAAGAGTAAGAAAGACGATGCACATTTGTGCATAGACTACTTAGAGGCAAGCGTGTTGTTAGCGCGTTATGTTCACCTGGTCAGAGTTAGCGTTACAATAGAGCAGCGTTATACACAGCAAGTAACGCACCATCAGAGTTAGCGTTACAATAGAGCAGCGTTATACACAGCAAGTAACGCACCATCAGAGTTAGCGTTACAATAGAGCAGCGTTATACACAGCCAGTAACGCACCATCAGAGTTAGCGTTACAATAGAGCAGCGTTATACACAGCCAGTAACTCACCATCAGAGTTAGCGTTTCAATAGAGCAGCGTTATACACAGCCAGTAACTCACCATCAGAGTTAGCGTTTCAATAGAGCAGCGTTATACACAGCCAGTAACGCACCATCAGAGTTAGCGTTACAATAGAGCAGCGTTATACACAGCCAGTAACGCACCATCAGAGTTAGCGTTTCAATAGAGCAGCGTTATACACAGCCAGTAACGCACCATCAGAGTTAGCGTTTCAATAGAGCAGCGTTATACACAGCAAGTAACGCACCATCAGAGTTAGCGTTTCAATAGAGCAGCGTTATACACAGCCAGTAACTCACCATCAGAGTTAGCGTTACAATAGAGCAGCGTTATACACAGTCCCCCCTTCGGCCCACGCATACCCCCTCTCCCCCTGTGCCCACGTACCCTCCCTCCCCCCAGGGTCCACGCAATCTGAATGCAATGCACGCAATATGTCCTCGACCAAATCATCAGTCAGTGCCATGATACTATCATAGTTTTACTTTGATGATATTTATACCATACCTATATAGTATACTAAAATCATTAGCAATATTCTTCTAGGATCTCGAGATTTTAATGGTACACTTATTAATACTAGGTACGTATGCTACTTGTGCTAAAATGGTTATGATGATTATACTAAGATTATTGCTTAGAAGTTGGAAGGCAATAACTCATGCATCATGGCCATTATCATCATATGATAATGGCCATATCATCATATAATATCATTTAGTTATTTTTATCATATGTCATTATCATCATACGGCCATTATCATCTTATATGGACATCATCATCATTAGGCTATTACCATCATATAGCCAATCATTCAAATCTGAGGTCAGGCTCTAAAATAAATCATCAGATACTTAACAAACGACGATCGTAACCGACAAAAAATTAGACCTTCAATAAAACATTTTAGCAGGGCACCAATTATTTAATTATAGAATCATTTGCACAAGACCAAGCGTCATGACCTTTGCTCACACCTCCGTGTAGGTGGGCTAGCATCGCCCCATGTTGCTTTTAATAATATTATTTTATTATTAGATATTTTAATAATATTATTATAAGAGCGCGGGTGGATACAACAACTTCAAGTATCTATGTCGCTCAGACCGACCATTATTAACGGTTGATAACCTGAAGGTAACATAACATAACATAGTGATGTCGGCGCTGCAGTGTAGGCCTGATGTACGTGGCCTGTATCTGATTCTTTTCCTTTTCGTGCCTTGTTCATAGATCTAAACTCGTGTCATTTGACCGGATCTTTTCATGACTGATGATAGTATGAAGTAGCTACTAGACTTCCACCGGGTTCGATATGGTACTAGGCATTTCAAATCTGAACATATATTTTTCTATAGCTTTATCTAGTCTGTTCTTGAACGCGTTCATACTCGGAGCGCCAACGATGTAATCAGGGAGGCTGTTCCGCATAACGCTTCTCTTTATTAACGACGACTGTACAAATGCGTCCTCAAAGGGGAGTATCCCTCAAGAAGGGTATACTCGTCGACACTAAAGTTAACAGGGGCAGGACTATCAAAACTATGTACACGTAGCGGCCGATTTCTCGACTGTGATTGGCGGGTTTAGCTAGAAAAGCCGTACGTGATACTACACTTTACACGTTGACTCCGATTGCTTCATCTTGTACTATTATTTCAGTTTTCATACTGTTTCTAAACAGGGTTGCCAGACGGTCAATTTTTCCGGACAAATTCCGTGATTTAGTTTTTCTCAATTGCGTTGGCTGGCTTAAATTTATGATAGGGCTATTTCCTAATTAAATTTTAAATATTACAAATAGAAAATAAATGGAATTTTTATAGCGGAACCTACAAGTAAAATAGTATATGTTGAGTTAACGGCCTTTTTGGCCTTTTTTGTTCTCGGATTTGGCCGATTTAGGCAGCCTGAATTATGTACCACTACGTCCTGGAGAAATACATTTAGTGGTACGCATATGTACCTTGTCGGAGTCAACGTGTTAACTGACGGAGTTACGAACCCTTCACGATTTTTGATATTACTGCTCCGGGTCTCCAGGTAGCAATAGCACTGACGACGGTATAAGCACCATAATCTCCTCATCATAAACAATATAACAAGTAAAAACATCACCTACCACAGCTAAGCACCAAGCACACCACGCATCATCACAGTATAGAGCAGAGTTGTACACGGAAATGGCATTGTGATGCGTGGCAGTTTTCATCGTCATTATCTCTGTTGAAATCAGTCCTTATTTCTATTGACCTTATGCATATATATAGAGCTTAGCAAGCGATTTAATGTCACAAGAAAATCTCTAGTAACTTGTTTAGCCTTACAATGTTTCTCTTTCAACCCATAATAACTGCTGAATAGTTTGCATGAGTGTAGGGCTCTTCAAACCTCATTTATGAGGCGCTCAAAAATGTGTACACAAAGGGGAATGATACGCGATATTCTACTTATCAAAGGACAGCAAATGGATCGCGATCTGATACCGCGTATGTATGTACACGACCTGCAGTATCACTGAACTTCTGATTGTTTTCACCGACAAGTTTGCTCTGATATCGCCAGCGTTGCTTGCCCATCGCTGGTGCAACAAGCCCCGCATTTGATTGTGTCAAAGCAGATTACCGCCCGCGCGAGCGATAAGCAATAAAGACGCGATAACATCTGCTGCTCAACTGTTAATAAATTTGCAAAATTAGCATTCGCCATAATTCGGTCAACTATTATATAGGTTCGTGAATTAAAAGTGGACAGCTGAGAATGGTAGCGCTGCAGCGTCGGTACGTAGCGTTTTTTTTTTCATAGTACCAACGATAAAAATGTCCCAGGTAAGACTACAACATGAATAAGTTATACAAAATATTTGTTCTGTGAATGAAAAGGCTCAGAAATAGTCTTTTCTATAGCGAACAGTTATTTTCTCTAAAAGGATCTTGCATTTAAGAAAGATTTTTCCAGGATTCAGAATCAGACGGCGTAAAATGAGCCAATTAACCCACGCAGAGACATTTATAACCACAACAAAACAAGAATCGACAGCGCTACAATGGAGAAAAAATTGCTTAGTGCTACGCAGACGCGCTGAAGAAAGCGCGTCGATAGCGCGGCGATGCAGCGACACCACCTCGCCACACAACTTTCTCTGTATGACCACACAGAGGGCGGCATTCCAACTTGAATAGTACCATAAACAATTCCAATCATTTAGACAAAAATTAGCTAGTTCAATACAGATAGGAAGTTTACGTATTTACACACTAGGTACGTCAAACGTCGTTTTGTAAAAATGAAAGATATATATGTATATAGTACATGCTTTACGTAAAAATATTTATTGTATTCCAACATTTGCGCGTCCACTCACACATTCAGCCTTCAAGAATCCACCCAGCGTGAATACCTAACCACACACGTCTACACATATACATATACAGTTGATACATACCACACATTTTTACACATCTGCCTCACGCCACAGATCAAATTACGATTACTATTTTAAAATGGAATTTAACGATAAGCAAGACTCACAACAACCCTGAACTTGAAATTTAAAATAAGCTTAATCATGACATTCGACGTGACCTTGAACATGATTCATGACGTAGCCATGAGTATGACTCATTTCACGGCAATGAAGAAACCAATGAACCATGAGCTGCTATTGCAGTCACGGCGGACATTAAAAACTTGAGATTCTATCATTATTTCGAACATCACGACATCGTTATGTATTATCAGTATAAATTTTATCGTAATGTTCCGTCAATTAATATTCCATTATGAGCATTCATCATTATTGATTCTGTCGTGAGATTATTTCATTTGCGATTCTATGGCCATATTCAATCATTAGGAATTCTAACGTAATATTTTATCATAAAAAAATTCTATTGTGTATTTTTATAATTAGATTTTATTAGATTCCACTATTAGAGACTCTATCGTGGGATTCTATCATCAGAAATTCGATCACGAGCTTGTATATAATTAGATTCTACATTAGAGATTCCATTGTGAGTTTCTATCACTAAACATTCCACCGATAATTCCCATCACTATATATGCGGCAGTAATTACACTCACTGCACTTCTGACACCTCTGACATGCATTGCAAGGTCACCGATGTAGGCCGCCCCATAATAGACATCGATCAAGCGGAGATAATTTCCAGTATCGCCAGCCCGGACCAGCGTAATCGTTCCTGCGGTGGTCGCAAGTGCTGCGGTGGTCGCAAGTGCTGCGGTGGTAGCAAGTGCTGCGGTGGTCGCAAGTGCTGCGGTGGTAGCAAGTGCTGCGGTGGTTGGGAACCATTACTGATGATGGACACCTACATTCGGGAACCATTACTGATGATGGACACCTACATTAGGGAACCATTACTGATGATGGACACCTACATTAGGGAACCATTACTGATGATGGACACCTACATTCGGTAACCATTACTGATGATGGACACCTACATTAGGGAACCAGTACTGATGATGGACACCTACATCATAGGGAACCATTACTGATGATGGACACCTACATTCGGCAACCATTACTGATTATAGATTCGAGAATCATTGATGATGAATTCAAGAATAATTTTGATAATCGACACCTGCAGTTAGGAACCATCAGTAGTGATGGCCACCATAAGCTAAGGAACCATACAAGTAAAACTCAAATACTGTTGATACAAACATGCAGACCGCTAAGTAAATTCTTCTTCTTTTAAACAAATATAGGTTTTCATGTTATAACAAGCATTTTGAAACGATTCTTTAAAGTACTAAACAATCAATATTCATGAACCGATCCAATCAATTAAATCAATATGTATTCACGCGCCAGCACGATGAAGTTTCGTCACCAAATTAACAGAAATAAATTCGTCTCCTGCGGATTGGACTATCCTGAGATCATCAGTTGTACTCACAGGCTCACAGCAATCGTGCCATCTACGATCTCTCAATTTACCATTATCGTACCGTCAACGATTTCTATCAATAACCGCTAGAACCATCTCTCATTTACGACCATTGGGGGCGATGAATGGTTTCTATCTACACGACCATCTGAGCTCCGATGGTCTCTCAACTTGTGACTAGCGATATAGGTACTGCATCTACTGCCACTGAAGCCCACACAATCTTTCTACTTACAACCATCGAGGCGCTAACGGCCTCTGAAACTTTTAACCACCATTACGAATTTTATTTACGATTATCACGGAATACTGCCATGCCATACGTCATCACGGAATGCTGCCATACACCACGGAATTATACCATACAATACATCACGCCCACGGAATACTGCCATACGTCATCACGGACTACACGGAATGCTACATCACGGTATGCTACCATCAACCATGCATGATCGTGAAGATCATGAGGGATTTAAACTATGCGGTTTGAATAGGTACAAGTTCGTATTTCTCTGTAGACTGTAGAGACTGAATGCCGATGGTTTAGGATTAGTCATTGGTAATATCCAAAGAATAAGAATAGAAATAATGTCTAATTAAAATTACTAATTGTATTGCTATCGGTAGTAGGTAGGTAGTATATCTTATTCCTAACAATAGTTGGCCACTAATATTTAGGACTACTATTAAAATTTCCTTGTTGAAGACTGAAGAGTACTAGAATAGCGAGCGTAAATTGAACAATAAGTTTAAGATACGCAGACGAGTGAATGGTTAATTAGTTAGACGGTAAGATCATCAATAACGACTGTAAACGACATGTTAATGATGTTATATATTACTAGGTATTAGTTACTAATAGTAGTCGAGCTCACCTCTCAGATATCCAGAACCTCGATGAGTCTATAACATAGATGAAAGCTTGAAAAATTAACTTTAATATATTTCCACCTCTCATAAGATGAACATTCATAGCACATAAAACCACGAAATTCGACGTGATCGACGAGCAAGATTGAAACCAACTCGACTAACGGAAAACTTCCCTCGGCTTCCTTTCTAAACGGAACGCCACCGGACACTCGTTGAAATCTCCGAGAATATAAGCTTGTTTTCACATTATTAATTGAATTTTTCAATACTACAAAAAGACCAACACCATAATGCTTGCTAATTAGCTTTATTTTATGACAGTTAGCAGCGATAGAGCTTCATACAACATACAGCAAACAATTGAACACAACCTACTACTCGAACAGCTGTAGGCACACTGGCAGTTGAATGGCGGTTCCTGATTTTTCGTTCAGCCCAGCTGCACCTTAGCGGTTAGCTTACCTATACAGATACGATTATGAATTTTTGTCGTTATAAAGAATATTTGTGCCACTTTAGGATCAAAATAAGATTTTATGAACAAAATATTTATGACCGTTGTTGCAGTCTTTTTCTAAATCATTTTAGTCTATTGCTAAAGGCTCTGGACGATTGATAAACTTTGCTTTTGAACATGTTATTGAGGCACAGGTGCCAGTTGGCAACGAAGGATTGTGAGCTAACTCAGGTCACTTAGTTTTCAAGATGTACTGTAATAACTGTATTACAATTTACAAATATATAAAATATGAATTTGTTTGCCAGTCAAATTCTAAAAAATTTCCTACTAAGATCGTACGCATCAAAATGAAACAGCAACAAAACTACGTGGGCATGCGTGAGAAAAATGAGCCAGCCGTTGAGCAAGAAAGTTCAAGGTGATTTGAGGCCGCTTAGTCAGGCGTTGCAAGCAGCGGATGAAAGTGTTGCCCGACCTAAAAAAATGTGTCAATATTAACTTAAGTGCATAATTCATTAACGTAATGTAAAGCCTGTACATTCTTTTGGTGTCTCAAAATGTCGGCTTTAGATGGTTTTAGATTCAAGGTTTCAGTTTGAAAATTTGCAGCGATTCTAAAACTATTACATCCGAATTATCTGCTGTTCTATACATTTTCTTGAATATTAAAAGCTCAAAACCAAATTGTTTTATCTGATTTAGTTACCGTAAGCAGTTGGGGAAGATGATAGGTGCTAGAATTAGTAGAATTGAAAACAAATATTCTAATTTGTTATCATCTATCTTCTCTCTCAGCGGTATATAAAATATCGGATGTAAAATTAGAACGCTATAGTATAATTTCCTCACTCTTAGAATTTACATATTTTACGATGTTAATTCTTCGCATTTATAAGTCATTTTCCTTGCCTTGATTGTTGTGCTGGCGCTGATCGATAACTGAATTTTTTCAACTAAAATAAATAACCTTATACTCATACACTTCTTTTCTAAGAAAATATTGCCTTCGGTGAAGTATCCATCAATGTACTTGATATATGTATCCATATTATCCACACATGTATTTTTTATAAATTATGTAGCTATGATGTCATAAATAAATTCAAGCTTTTTAATTGAAGGAATTTTTATTGGGAGTCTTCTAGCGATGTGTTCCCTTGAATAAATCATCAAATCCAAAGGAGGATATCTGTATTTAATCACAAAAATTTCATAAATAATTCATAAGTAACCAAGGTATTCATCTGAATTAGACAGATCAATGACAAAGTTAAAGCCGATGAATAATTAGTTTCTCACAAGAGCGTGTTATAAGTAAATAGTTTCGTTTTTAATTACGTTGCGATCGGTTCGATCTGAAAAAGTTATACGTGGAAAACGTGCTGGTAAAATTCGTCCCAAAACTTCGTTCCGAAAATTCAGTTTCGCGTGTATTGTTCCGCAGCTGCTGTTGCATCATGAACTGTATCCTGCATGAACGGCGTATTGCATGAACTGTGTATTACATGAACTGTGTGTTGCATGAACTGTGTGTTGCATGAACTGTGTGTTGCATGAACTGTGTATTGCATGAACTGTGTGTTACATGATTTGTGTGTTGCATGAACTGTGTGTAGCATGAACCGTGTGTTGCATGAACTGTGTAAAATGCGTCGGCATGAACCATGTGTTGCATGAATTGTGCGTTACATGAACTGTATATTGCATGAACTGTGTGTAGCCTGTAACATGAACTGTGTGTTGCAAGAACTGTGCGTTGCATGAACTGTGTGTAGCATGAACTGTGTGTAGCATGAACTGTGTGTTTCAAAAGCTGTGTGTTGCATGAACTGTAGGTTGCATAAAATATGTGTTGCATGAACTGTGTATTGTTTATTTGTTTACCCGCGTGTTGCATGTCCTGTATATTGCATAAACTATGAGCTATAGCGAGTGTTAGTTGTATGAACCGTGTGTTGCATGAACTGCGTGTTGCATAAACAAAATCCATGCCAAATTCTGGGCCAAAAGTGTCGATGTTGTGTTTTCCGCTGCAAAGTTATCGGTTGTTTCGAACATCCCATTATCTGTCTTTTCCTTCCTCAATCGGAGAAGCAAAATAATCAGAATATTTATTTGAGTTGGCTACTTTCATGTAATTTCCTATCATTTTTTTTACTATTCAGAAGCAAACTTTCGAGTGGAATACTCAATTTACCAGCAAAGCGAAGACGTGCGTGTTGAGAACCCACAGCTGCTGTCGCTTTAATTGCGAGCATATATTGACACTTTTCGACGCATGTTTAAACATGCATCGCATGAACTCATTTTCAAAATTTCTAGAATCGATTCTGTGTTAGGTTTTGTCAATAGTACATTTTTTATATTCTCACTGATTGTAAAAGTTCTTCATTGCGCTTTTTGCTTCTCACTTGAACACTGACGTTTGTCGTCATTCAAATGCTATTGGCTGGTTCGTTTCGGGATGTAAGTCCGGTCAAATTGAAAACATTGCAAGTTAACTGCGCGACTGTCTCAGTTATAAAATTCTCTGGGAGGATTTTTTGGAACTAGTTTGATTATTTTAAGGGCTTGAATTGAGAAAAGCAGTGTAATGATGTTTGTGTTAGGTTGAAGTTAGTTCCGTCTTTTTGCTGCATACTGCATAGTTCATCAGCTTAACTAAAAGTTTTCCAGCTTCCAGTCCAGGTAGCCTATATCCTCGCACCTCGTTTGTACTCCTGATTAATTTACTTCTGGCGAGCTGATTATTGCGTAAAGTTATCCTCGTAAATTTTTTTAGATTTGTAGATTAGACATATTATTCACCATGAACCCTTTAATATGTTTGTTTATCGTGCAAAAATTTATTGGCTTCCTCAAAGTTCATGTCAGTTGCAGAGAGCGCTGCTGTACCCCGAAAATTTTACTCTTAAATCAGCCCAAGAGCCAATCCCAATGCCAACCCTCCACGTGCAATAGGAATACCTAGTCAGCCTAACACGGTATGACGGTAAGTCGGTAACACCTATGCAGCTGTTCTTACTTGCCTCATCTTGCCACACCAGCTTGAAACAAGCAATGCCTAAGCGGCTCAGCCCACAAGCTGATACTCCAAACGGATTATGCCTAATAGGCCTAGCTCCTACAGTCTACACTCAACACCAATGATTTAAGCCCATACCATCACTTCTTACAAATGCCTTAAGCCACAGCATAGTGACAAAGCAGAGAGATTTTTAGACTCTCCCTCAAGTTCACTTTTGAATACTATAAGTAGACCAGTAAAGTATCATGGATATCAGCATTTTCATACCTAGAAAATTGGTTTAAATCTTGAGGAAATGAGGAAATTAAAAATCATCTGATTCTAAAAAAGCTCTGGTTTGCCACTATGAGCCACAGGGTCCGCAGACTGCAGCAGACTGGGACTGCCATAAATGGGAACCATGGTGGCAGGGAATCATTGTGAGTACTTATCGGTCCACCGCCGTGCGTCGGTCTTAACCCTTCACAAGGCCCCATGCCCTTGGCCCTTGGGCCCCTCTTGCAAGTTGTAATGGTCTAAACTCAACAGTTCGACCCCTGGCCCCATCCCCATGGTCTCATCACAACTCCCTTTAGAAATATGTGGAGTTTCGAAATTGATAGTAATAAATCAATATGCTCACCTTCTTCAGAAGTGTGAAAGCTTTTGCCGGTGAAGGTGTGTTTTACGATCGGTCCATAAAGAAGTGTTGATCGGTTCAAAATGACATAAGAACAGGTTCTTTTGAATAACCTATGGATTGGCACCATGATGGGAACGGCCCTGCATAGCCTAGTGACAAACCAGAAATTTTTAGAATCAGTTCTTTTTTAATTTCCTCATTGACTCCAGATTTAAACCAATTTATCATGTATGATAATGCTGGTATCCAGGATACTTTACTCAGTTTACTGGTCTACTTATAAGTTATAGGACTCAAAAATGAACTTGAGGGAAAGTCTAAAATACTCTCTGCTTTGCCACTATGCGGCCATGCACCGGACTGTCGCATCATTTACCCACTTGAGCCACTTCGTAGGCATAAGCCCACTTAGCCCAGCGGCCCCAGCCCTGGCACTCACCAGCATCTTCTTCCTCCACACTTACCCCCTTCTCTCCACATTTCCGCAAAAGGGTTAGGTTAGAATTCTTCCGTAAGCTGGTACCAAAAGCAAAAGGAGGGGGAGCAGTCAGCAGGGGGTAAGCATGGAGGTTTAGAATCCAAAAGAATGGAGAGGCAGGGGAATAGCCTTTAGAAGAACGGACAGGCTGGAGAGTGGAGAGGTAGCAGTGTACTGATAGCACTGTGGCGCAGGGCGTTCTTTATTAAAAGTGGGGAAGGGGCTAGGCTGCATGGAATAGAAATATTTTGGAGTTTAGCGTGTGGGTTACAACCATTGTTTTGGTGGCCTGCAGCTCATTGGCTTGCTGGTTTACATCCATGAAGGGGTTTGGTCCAGAATGGTCCCTGTGACTTTCAGCAAGTAATCATGTTGGCTAATATGCTCTGTAGTCTGCAGCATGCTCGCGCTTGGGGTGAAGTATGCTGTATGAAAATTATGCTGGTATTGGGCAATGCTGGGCTATTTCAGTTGTCCCTTGCTGAAAACCTAGGTAGGTAAGCCTATCCTGATTAAAGCAGGACGTGGGCTAGTCAGATAGTGCATGCGGCATGCCTACTGCCTAGTGCCTAGGCAGGCTAGTGGCCATCAATTCCATCAATTGTTATGGCATTGATGATTGATGGGTCCACACGAGAACAGTACAAATGGTTGATCTGATCATCTGAGTACAGATTAATAATCACTGCTGAGTATCATCACATGACATAAATTATATGCTGCATCTGTACTTACTCAGTTACTGTAGTAGTAGTTGTGTAGGGTAGTTCAAGTTCAGTAGGCTAGTTGGAAATTTGGGGATGTCAGGTAAGACTCAATCCTCAAAAAGTCAGACTAGTTATTTTTGGTCCATGAAAGTTATTTTATCTTTTTTTTGTTTATCTGCATTCAACTATTCAAGCACAGAATAAGTAGGTATATCTAACTTTCAAGCTGCAACCAGAGTTGTGATTTGTGAAGTTGTGAGATTTATGCTGGACTAGAGAAATTATGTGCTATCTATCTTATTATTAACAACAGTGCACAATCGGCAATTGTGCTGGAAGATTATAAATTAAAAAAAAATTCACTTTGAAGTTCGGAGTGACTCCGAACTTCAAAGTGAAATTTTTTTTTTGCATTGTGACAAAGCAGAGAGTTTTTATTAACATGTTTTTCTTAGCTTAGCTTCATGTTTGTTTGTTTGTTGTTAACATTGACAATGAAAATTAGCCCACTTCTGGTTGCTCTAGAGATCTGAAATTCGGCATGCAGGCTATTTTTGCCTAACAATTTCAGATACAATCATAAAAACTAGTAATTTGAGACCTAAATTAGCTTAATTGAGTAAAGTATATATAGTATATATATAGTATTACGTGCGGGCGCTCACGTTATAGACGAGCAGGCGCTGGCGCTGCGTATCATCGATACGTATGTCAAGTCATACTTAATCAAATCTTAATCGTTTTTCTTGTGGACTAAAAAGTAGAAAATAAAATACTTAAAAAAACTTTTAAAACAAACACGTTTTTCTTGTGGACTAAAAAGTAGAAAATAAATTATGGCTTGCCCCAAAAAAACGTGGGTCGGGCTGTACGTTCACCATCAAAATTCGTGTGTTGTGTGCTTTTCGTTTTAATCATAAATTTGCCCGACACACATTTTTTTGGGGTGAGCCATAATTTATTTTCTACTTTTTAGTCCATAAGAAAAACGTGTTTGTTTTAAAAGTTTTTTAAGTATTTTATTTTAGACTCTCCCTCAAGTTCATTTTTGAGTCCTATAAGTAGACCAGTAAAGTATCATGGATATCTACCAGCATAATCATACTTCAGAAATTGGTTTAAATCTTGAGTTATTGAGGAAATTAAAAATGAACTGATTCCAAATAAAATACTTAAAAAAAACTTTTTAAAAAAACACGTTTTTCTTGTGGACTAAAAAGTAGAAAATAAATTGTGGCTCGCCCCAAAAAACGTGGGTCGGGCTGTACGTTCACCATCAAATTTCCAAAATTCGTGTGTTGTGTGCTTTTCGCTTTAATCATAAATCTGCCCGATACACGTT